ATACCCCAAAAACTGCCCAAAGATACCCCAAAAACTGCCCAAAGATACCCCAAAACTGCCCCAAAAATGCCCCAAAAACTGCCCCAAAACACCCCAAAAACTGCCCAAAACTGCCCCAAAAACTGCCCAAAAATGCCCCAAAACTGCCCAAAAAACTGCCCAAAAAACTGCCCCAAAACAGCCCAAAAACTGCCCCAAAAATACCCCAAAAATTGCCCCAAAAAGATCCCAAAACTACTAAAAAATGCCAAAAAACCCCATGGAAAAACCCAAAAGGTCATGGGAGATTGGTCCTGGAGAACCTTCTGGAGATGGTCACCAGAGGTGCCATCTGGAGGGACATCCAGGAGGGCACGGGGGTGAGTGGACACGCAAAGCTTGGGGAGCCCCAAAAAGATCCCAAAACTCCTAAAAGATCCCAAAAAATACCCCAGAAATTCATGGGTTAAATGGTGCTGGAGAACCTTCTGGAGATGGTCACCAGAGGTGCCATCTGGAGGGACATCCAGGAGGGCACGGGGGTGAGTGGACACTCAAAGCTTGGGGAGCCCCAAAAAGATCCCAAAACTCCTAAAAGATCCCAAAAAAAACCCCAGGAATTCATGGGTTAAATGGTGCTGGAGAACCTTCTGGAGATGGTCACCAGAGGGACATCCAGGAGGGGACGGGGGTGAGTGGACACTGAAATCTTGGGGAGCCCCAAAAAGATCCCAAAACTACTAAAAAATGCCAAAAAACCCCATGGAAAAACCCAAAAGGTCATGGGAGAGTGGTCCTGGAGAACCTTCTGGAGATGGTCACCAGAGGGACGTCCAGGAGGGGATGGGGGTGAGTGGACACTGGAACCCCAAAAAGATCCCGAAACTCCTAACCTGTCCCTCACCTGTCCCCCTGTCCCCAGGAGAAGGCCGACCTGGGCGAGGTGAATTTCTCTCTCTGTTACCTGCCCACGGCCGGGCGCCTCACGGTCACCGTCATCCGCGCCTCCAACCTGCGCGCCATGGACCTCACCGGCTACTCAGGTGAGCCACGGGTGTGACAGGTGTGTCACAGGTGTGTCACAGGTGTGTCAGGTGTGGGGCAGGTGTGACAGGTGTGTCACAGGTGTGTCACAGGTGTGACAGGTGTGACAGGTGTGTCACAGGGGGATAAAGGACCATGGACCTCACTGGTTGCTCAGGTGAGTCACGGGTGTGACAGGTGTGTCACAGGTGTGACAGGTGTGTCATAGGTGTGACAGGTGTGGGACAGGTGTGTCACAGGTGGGATGAGTGTGTCACAGGTGTGCTCAGGTGTGACAGGTGTGTCACAGGTGTGGGACAGGTGTGTCAGGTGTGTCACGGGGGGATACAGGGCCATGGACCTCACCGGCTACTCAGGTAAACCCAAAAATTCATGGGGTAAGTGGTGCTGGAGGAACTTCTGGAGATGGTCACCAGAGGGACATCCAGGAGGGCACGGGAGTGAGTGGACACTGGAACCCCAAAAAGATCCCAAAACTACTAAAAGATGCCAAAAAAACCCCATGGAAAACCCAAAAATTCATGGGGTNCAGGTGTGTCACAGGTGTGACAGGTGTGTCATAGGTGTGACAGGTGTGGGACAGGTGTGTCACAGGTGTGTCACAGGTGTGTCACAGGTGTGGGACAGGTGTGGGACAGGTGTGGGACAGGTGTGTCACAGGTGTGTCACAGGGGGACACGAGACCATGGACCTCACCGGCTACTCAGGTGAGCCACGGGTGGGATAGGTGTGTCACAGGTGTGCTCAGGTGTGTGACAGATGTGGGACAGGTGTGACAGGTGTGTGACAGGTGTACCACAGGTGTGTCACAGGTGTGCTCAGGTAGGACAGGTGTGCTCAGGTGTGTCACAGGTGTGCTCAGGTGTGCTCAGGTGTGTCACAGGTGTGTGACAGGTGTGTCACAGGTGTGTCACAGGTGTTATTTTATCTATAAGTCCATGGGGACTGTGGGGTGCTGTGGGATCCATGGGGTTCCATGGGGTTCAGTGCGTTATTTTGGGGTGCTTTGGGGTCCTGTGACTTATTATGGGGTGCTTTGGGGTCTGTGAAGTCCTGTGGGTTATTTTGAGGTGCTTTGGGATTCCATGGGTTATTATGGGGTGCTATGGGGACTATTTTGGGGTGCGGTGGGGTTCCATGGGGTTCAGTGGGATATTATGGGGTGCTGTGGTGTCTATGGGGTGCTGTGAGTTATTTTGGGGTGCTTTGGGGTTCCATGGGGTCTGTGGGGCCCGCAGACCCCTACGTGAAGGCCTCGCTGATGGCCGAGGGCCGGCGGCTGAAGAAGCGCAAGACGTCCATCAAGAAGAACACGCTGAACCCCAACTACAACGAGGCGCTGGTCTTCGACGTGCCCCACGAGAGCGTGCACCACGTCAGCCTCACCATCGCCGTCGTCGACTACGACTGGTGCGCGCTGGGAGGGGCCTGCAGGGGTTCTGGGGTCATTTTGGGGGGTTTTGGGGCGATTTTGGGGCGTTTCGGGTCATCCCGGAGCAATGGGAAACCCCATGGTTGACGTTCTCATGGAGGACGTCAACATCATCATCATTGTTGGGTTCAACTGGTTTGTACTGGGAGGATCCTGGGAGGTCTTTGGAGGGAATTTTGGGGTCTTGGAGTGGTTTTGGGGTGATTTTGGTGGGTTTTGGGGAGTTTGGGGTCATCCCGGAGCAATGGGAAGCTCCTTGGTTGACGTCCACCATGAGAACGTCAACGTCGTTATAGTTGGGTCCAACTGGTTTGTACTGGGAGGATCCTGGATGGAGTTTGGGGGGTCTTTGGGGGTATCTTGGGGTCTTTGAGGTGATTTTGGGCGATTTTGGGGCGTTTCGGGTCATCCTGGAGCAATGGGACGCCCCTTGGTTGACGTCCACCATGAGAACGTCAACATCATCATCATTGTTGGGTTCAACTGGTTTGTACTGGGAGGGCTCCTGGGGGGTCTTTGGAGGGAATTTTGGGGTCTTGGACGGGTCTTGGAGTGGTTTTGGGGTGATTTTGGGGGGTTTTGGGGTGTTTCGGGATCATCCCGGAGCAATGGGAAGCTCCTTGGTTGGCATCCACCATGAGAGCGTCAACGTCGTTATCATTGTTGGGTTCAACTGGTTTGTATTGGGAGGATCCTAGATGGAGTTTGGGGGGTCTTTGGGGGTATCTTGGGGTCTGTGAGGGGATTTTGGGGGGTTTTGGGGCTTTTGGGGTCACCCCGGAGCAATGGGATGCTCCTTAGTTGACGTCCTCCATGAGAACGTCAACATCATCATCATTGTTGGGTCCAACTGGTTTGTACTGGGAGGATCCTGGGGGCTCTTTGGAGGGAATTTTGGGGTCTTGGAGGGGTCCTGAGGAGGTTTTGGGGGAATTTTGGGGTGTTTGGGGTCATCCCAGAGCAATGGGAGGATCCTTGATTGACGTCCACCATGAGAGCGTCAACATCGTCATCGTTATTGGGTCCAACTGGTTTGTACTGGGAGGATCCTGGGGGGTCTTTGGAGGGAATTTTGGGGTCTTGGAGGGGTCCTGAGGAGGTTTTGGGGGAATTTTGGGGTGTTTGGGGTCATCCCAGAGCAATGGGAGGATCCTTGATTGACGTCCACCATGAGAGCGTCAACATCGTCATCGTTATTGGGTCCAACTGGTTTGTACTGGGAGGATCCTGGGGGGTCTTTGGAGGGAATTTTGGGGTCTTGGAGGGGTCCTGAGGAGGTTTTGGGGGAATTTTGGGGTGTTTGGGGTCATCCCAGAGCAATGGGAGGATCCTTGATTGACGTCCACCATGAGAGCGTCAACATCGTCATCGTTATTGGGTCCAACTGGTTTGTACTGGGAGGATCCTGGGGGGTCTTTGGAGGGAATTTTGGGGTCTTGGAGGGGTCCTGAGGAGGTTTTGGGGGAATTTTGGGGTGTTTGGGGTCATCCCAGAGCAATGGGAGGATCCTTGATTGACGTCCACCATGAGAGCGTCAACATCGTCATCGTTATTGGGTCCAACTGGTTTGTACTGGGAGGATCCTGGGGGGTCTTTGGGGGGAATTTTGGGGTCTTGGAGTGATTTTGGGGTGGTTTTGGGGGGTTTTGGGGCTTTTGGGGTCACCCCGGAGCAATGGGATGCTCCTTAGTTGATGTCCTCCATGAGAACGTCAACATCGTCATCATGGTTGGGTCCAACTGGTTTGTACTGGGAGGATCCTGGGGGGTCTTTGGAGGGAATTTTGGGGTCTTGGAGGGGTCCTGAGGAGGTTTTGGGGGAATTTGGGGCGTTTGTGGTCATCCCGGAGCGATGGGACGCCCCTTGATTGACGTCCACCATGAGAGCGTCAACATCGTCATCGTTATTGGGTCCAACTGGTTTGTACTGGGAGGATCCTGGGGGGTCTTTGGAGGGAATTTTGGGGTCTTGGAGGGTCCTGGAGGGGTTTTGGGGCCATTTTTGGGGGATTTTGGGTATTTGGGATCATCCCGGAGCAATGGTTGACATTGGTTGACGTCCTCCATGAGAGCGTCAACGTCGTCACCATCGTTGGGTCCAACTGGTTTGTACTGGGAGGCACTGGGGGGTCTTTGGAGGGAATTTTGGGGCGATTTTGGGGGATTTTGAAGGATTTTGGGGTGTTTGGGGTCAGCCTGGAGGAATGGTTGAGGTGATTGTGCAGGGAAACCAACGGGGCCGGATTTGGGGTCGTTTTGGGGGATTTTGGGGTCCTGCAGAATGGGGGATTCTTTGGGGTGTTTTGGGGTGGATTTTTTGGGGTGTTTTAAGGGGGATTTGGGGTTTTTTTGGGGTGCCCCTGACCCCCGTGACCGCCCCATAGCATCGGGCACAACGAGGCAATCGGGCATGGGCAGGGAAACCAACGGGGCCAGATTTGGGGTTGGTTTGGGGGATTTTGGGGTCGTTTTGGCGGATTTTGGTGTCCTTCAAGCCAGGGATTTTTTGGGGTGTTTTGGGGGGGGATTTTGGGTTTTTTTGGGGTGCCCCTGACCCCCGTGACCCCCCGACAGCATCGGGCACAACGAGGTGATCGGGCTGTGCCAGGTGGGTAACGATATCAACTTTTGAGAGATTTTGGGGTCGTTTTGGCGGATTTTGGGGTCCTGCAGAATGGGGGATTTTTGGGGTGTTTTGAGGGGGATTTTGGGGTTTTTTGGGGTGCCCCTGACCCCCGTGACCCCCCGACAGCATCGGGCACAACGAGGTGATCGGGCTGTGCCAGGTGGGTAACGATATCAACTTTTGAGAGATTTTGGGGTCGTTTTGGCGGATTTTGGGGTCCTGCAGAATGGGGGATTTTTGGGGTGTTTTGAGGGGGATTTTGGGGTTTTTTGGGGTGCCCCTGACCCCCGTGACCCCCCGACAGCATCGGGCACAACGAGGTGATCGGGCTGTGCCAGGTGGGTAACGATATCAACTTTTGAGAGATTTTGGGGTCGTTTTGGGGGATTTTTGGGTCCTGCAGAAGGGGGGATTTTTGGGGTGTTTTGAGGGGGATTTTGGGGTTTTTTGGGGTGCCCCTGACCCCCGTGACCCCCCGACAGCATCGGGCACAACGAGGTGATCGGGCTGTGCCAGGTGGGTAACGATATCAACTTTTGAGAGATTTTGGGGTCGTTTTGGGGGATTTTGGGGTCCTGCAGAATGGGGGATTTTTGGGAGATTTTGGTGTCCTTCAAGCCAGGGATTTTTTGGGGTGTTTTAAGGGGGATTTTGGGGTTTTTTTGGGGTGCCCCTGACCCCCGTGACCCCCCGACAGCATCGGGCACAACGAGGCAATCGGGC